TGCCCAAAGTCACACCAAAAAGACGGAAGCGACTTTGCCTCGGCGCGTGGAGGAGGAGGAGGAAAAAGGAGGAAAAAAAAAAGGAGGAGGAGGAGGGAATAAAAAAGAAGAAGAAGAAGAAAATCGTGGATGTCCCTGCTGCCCACCGGGCCCCCTCGCAGTCACCTGCAGAGGAATGCAGGGATACGGAGCCCACGCAGGAATTTCGGGAATTTCGGAGCTTTGCCCGTTAAACGCGGGGCTCGGCCATCGGGAATCGTCTCTTCCCACACTTCCCAAGCGCGTCTCCCGCGGGAAAAAAAATTTAAAAAAAAAAACCAAAAAAACCAACACCAAAAAATCCAAAACCACCAGAGGTGATTTTTTTCCCTCTTCCAATTATTCACTATCAAACCCTTCCTGAAAAAAAAAATGAAGAAAAAAAAAAAAAAAGAAAAAACGGGATTCTTGGATGCAAGCGGCGGAGCCTCCTCGGGCAGGAGCGGGGCAGAGTTTAAATCCTCATCCCGGCGGATTTGATCCCAAAATTCCCCCCCTCGGGCGTTGCTAAGTGACGGATTGCCGGCAGCGGGGGGGACGCATCCTTGGGAAAAGCCGGGATTGATCCAGCGGAGGACGGACGGACGGACGGACGGACGGACGGACCGGAGCCCCCTCCCCAAATTGTCCCTTAGGGGCGGCGGGAGGGGGAGGGGGCCGCGGGTCCCTCCCAGCGGAGCCGCAGGGGTGACATCAGAGCCGGGATAATCCGGGAGAGCCGGGAAGGAGCCTGGGAAGGAGCCGGGAAGTGGGAGCCAAAGTGGGAATGGAGAGGAGGGAGCGAGGGCAGGGAGGGGAGGGATGGGGAGGGAGGGGAACAAAGGGAGGGATGGGGAATGATTTGGAAAACGGGAGAGGGATGGGAGGGATGGGAGGGATGGGAACAAAGGGAGGGATGGAGAGACGAGGAATGATTTGGAATACGGGAGAGGGACGGGGAGGGATGGGAACAAAGGGAAGGATGGGAAGGATGGAGAGGGATGGGAACAAAGGGAGGGATGGGGAATGATTTGGAATACGGGAGAGGGATGGGAAGGAATGGGAAGGAATAGGAGGGACGGGGAATGATTTGGAATGTTGGAGAGGGATGGGGAGGGATGGGAACAAAGGGACGGATGGGAGGGATGGGGAAATGGGGAGACGGGGAATGATTTGGAATACTGGAGAGGGATGGGGAGAGATGGGGAGGAATGGGGAATGATTTGGAATGTTGGAGAGGGACGGGGAGGGATGGGAGAGATGGAAGTGACAGGGAACAATGGGAGGGATGCAGGGGGATGAGGAGAGATGGGGAATGGTTGGGAATGTTGGGGAGGAATGGGGAGGAATGGGAACAAAGGGAGGGATGTGGAGGGATGGGGAGAGATGGGAATAGTTGGGAATATTGGAGAGGGACGGGGAATTATTGGGAATATTCGAGAGGGATGGGAATGCTGGGGAAGGATGGGAGAGATGGAAGCAACATGGGAAAAATGGGAGGGATGGGGAGGGTTGGAAAGATTGGGAATGATTGGGAATACTGGAGAGGGATGGGGAGGGATGGGAACAATTGGAGGGATGGGGAAGGATGAGGAATTATTTGGAATATTGGAGAGGAATGGGGAACAATGGGAAGGATGAGGAGGGATGGGAGAGATGGGGAAATGACTGGGAATATTGAAAAGGGATGGGGAACAGTGGGAATATTGGGGAGGGATGGGAGAGATGGGAGCAATGGGATCAGTGGGAGTGCTGGGAATGCTGGGAAGTGTTGGGGAATACTGGGGAGTGATGGAACATGGGAACAATGGGAATGATGGGGAACAATGGGAATGATGGGAATGAGGAAAAAACCAGGAAGAGTGGGAATGATAGGAATCATGGAAATTATGGGAATGGTGGGAACAACAGGAATGATGGGAACAAAGGGAAGTTAGGAAGCAATGGGAAGAGATGGGGAGCAATGGGAATGATGGGGAGCAATGGGAAGAGCTGGAAAATGATGGGAATGTTGGGAAGGGATTGATGGGGAGGGGGGGAGCACTGGTGGCACCAGAACACCGGGAATTGGCAGTGGGAATTGCCTGTGGATCCATTCCCGAGGCACAGGAAGGGATTGGAATTCCAGCTGGACCTCGCCAGCTCCTCCAGAGGGAAAACCTGGGATCACTGGGAACACCCGCAAGGAATGGATCCATGCTGGGATCACTGGGAACACTGGGAAGGAATGGATCCATGCTGGGATCACTGGGAACACCCGCAGGGAATGGATCCATGCTGGGAATACCTCGGATCACCGGGAATGCCAGGTGGGAATTGGATCCCATGCTGAGAAAACTTTGGATTTCCTGGATCACCAGGAGGGAATGGATCCATGTTGGGAACACTTTGGGAATCCATTCCAGAGGGAGACAATTCCCAATCCTGGAGCGTTTTCCCGTTTGCTGAATCCTTCAGGCTCCGGCAGCGCTTCCCAAACCCCGGATCACGTCACCCACTGTGGGCTGGTGGCTCCCTGCTCTTGGAATTGTGGGGTGGGATTCATGGAATCATGGAAAAAGCTGGAAAAGCTCCGGGCTGGAGCAGCGCCATTCCATGGAAACGGGAATGCAGAGGGAGGGACGGAAAACTCTCCCTGGAAAAGCTTCTCTGGAATCCCACTGGGCGCTTTCCCGAGCCTCTGGAATTTTCTGGGAGCTTTTTGGGATCAGATCCTTTTTTCAGGGAGTGTTGGGAATAACCTGGATTCATGGAATTGTTTGGGTGGGAAGCTCCTGGAATTCCATCCCATTCCATGATCCCAGGGTGCTCCAGCCTTGCCTTGGAATCTTGCTGGGATCCAGGAGGAATCCATGATCCCATTCCTTGGACAAAGCAGGTTGGGAAAGCCTCAATCCCATGGAAAACTGGGAATTCTGACCCCATGAAGCTGCTTGGGAATGTTGGGATAAGGACAGAAGGGATTTGGGAAGGAATTCCTGGCTGGGAGGGTGGGAAGGGGCTGGGCTGGAATTCCAAGGGTTGGGATTTCAGTTCCATTCCCACCCAACCCATTCCAGGGTTCTCCCATGGAATTTCCATCCTGGCAGTGCATTCCCAGCCCTGGAGGTATCCAAGGAAATCCTGGAATTCCACTCAGAGCTCCAGAGAGCTTTTCCCACCTCGGGAATTCCATGGATTTTAGCATTCCCGTTTTCCTTGAGGAATCCAAACATTCCCAGGGAGTGGAATCCCTCTCTGGCCATTCCAACATTCCAGCGTTTTCCTGGGAAGCTGGGGACACCTTCCAATGCTTTTCCCATGGGAATAACCAAGCGGATCCATGAAAACTGATTTCACTTCCCGACTTCCCCCTTTTTTCCCAGAATCCCAGGATGTGGCTCGGAAAAGGGATTCAGGATCATTCCATGGGCAGGGCCAATTCCTGCTATCCCAGCTTGCTCCAGGTTTGTTGTTTTTTCCCCAGCCTGGAATTCTTCCAGGTGTCTCCTGGGTGGCTTTTCCTGCTTTTCCCCAAACTTTGGGAATGTGGGCGGAGCGGGATCGGCGTCACCGGGAATGTGGGCAGGATCCAGGTGTGGGATCCGAGCCCGGAGCCTCGGGAAGCGTGGGAGCCCGGGATGAATCACGGCTCCATTGATTCCCGCAGATTCCGTGGATTCTAAAAGGAGCTGGAATTGCCGGGGGCGTGCGGAGACCGACGCCCACCTTTAACTCCCGGCGTTCCGCAGGGATGGAGAATTCCCGGGATTCCAGCGCCTGTTCCAGGTTTTCCACTCGGCCTCGGGCACCAAAGGCTGGGATGGTGCTGGCCTCTCCAGGAATTCCTTTGCCATGAGTTTTCCATGAATTTTCCACAGTTTTGTCTGATCCAAACCTGACCTGTAACTCCCAGCATTCCACAGGGACACCAGGAGAATTCCTGGTCACATTCCCAATCCCATTCCAGGCCTATTCCAGGTGGAATTCCAATGGAAACTCAGCCCCTTTGGATGGGGGAATTCCAGCTTTGGAAACACTGGAAGGAATTCCCAGATTTCCAGAGGGATGGGAGAAGAGGCAACAACATCAAGGAAACCTCAGGAATTACAGGAAAATCCAAGGAAAACTTTTCCCAATGGAAACCCTTTGCCTGTGGAATTCCCAGATTTCCCAGCTCTGAAAAAAATTATTTCGTAATTCCCAAATTCCAACCTCCATTATCCCAAAATTCCCAAATTCCAACCTCCATAATCCCATCATTTTCTACCTCCACACATTTTTCCACCCCGGCATTCCAGGACCGAAAATTTCCCTTTTCCCCCTCCGTGTTTTCCATGTTTTCCAGTGAAATCTCTCTCCCTAATCCCTGACACAAATCCGGGATTGGCTCCTGCTCCTGATTTTTCGCCTTCCCAGCTGCTCCTGGCTTTAATTCCCGAATTAATTTGGAGCCTCTTTAATCTCTCCCTTTAATCCCAAAGGTAATTCCCGCTGGGATTTCTCTTCCGGATCAAGCCCAGCTCGGATTCGTCCCCTCCAGGTGAATTTTCCCGACCTCTGTCCCGTTTTTCCCCTTCCCAGATTTTGGGAACGACTGGAATTTTGGGAGCATCCAGCACATCCCGGCTCTGGAGCAGCTCCTGCTGCTCCTTTGAGGGATTCCTGATTCCAAAGGAAATCTGGGAATGCTGGGAATCCATCCCATCCCAGGGGAGTTTTCCCATCTCCAATCTGGATTTATCCCAGAATTCCTGGGGATGTCCCAGCATTCCAAACCATTCCGTGATCCCACAGAATCCATCATGCAGAATTTTGGGATTTTCCCTTTCCCAGTGATTTCCCAAACTCCCCAGATTTTCTCTGCGAGCTTCTGCCTGGAATCCAAACAATTCCCAAAGGATTTCCTGGATGGGGATCAATCCAAGCCCTCCCTGTGGATCCAATCCCACCCCAGGCTCTTCCCAAAGTTTTTTTCTGGATCCAGCTCCTTAAATTCCCCTTAAATTTGCCTTGGGCCAAGGAATTGTGTGGATCCATGGAATTCTGGGAATCTTGGAGCTCATCCACAACATTTTCTTGGTTTTTTTTGAACTCCTTATCCCATATTTTGCTCCCCTGAGCATTCCCAATTCCGAGGAATTTGTGGAATTTTGGAGTCTTCCCAAGCTTTTTTCCACACTGGATCCGGCTCCTTAAATTCCCCTTCCTTCCCAACTCCTCCATTGGAATCCCAGGAATGTTTTCCCAGTGAAAATTGCCAGGAATTGCAACTCCTGCCCAAGAGCTCCTCCTGGTGTTTTCCCAGGATGTGATTCCCAAAGGAAATCTCTTTTCCCCGGGATTCCAACGGATTCAATCCCGCTTCTTTTTTTGGCTGAACCGATGGAATTTTGCCTCATCCGTGAATTCCAGCTTTTCCCCCCCTGCTCTTCCCATGATCCCAGCAGGGATTTTCCAGAGCTTCCCTTCATTTTTCCCTTGTTTTTTTGTCTTTCCCGGTTTTTCCAACAGGAATGGCTCCAGAGCAGCAAATCCCGGGAATTTTGAGGATCCACCCAAATTCCTCAGAGTCGGGAATGCTCTGGGAAGCAAAATTTGGGATAAGGAGCTCAGAAAAGCAGGAAAACGTCGTGGATGAGCTGCAAGATTCCCAGAATTCCATGGATCCACACAATTCCTTGGCTTCCAAGGAAAAATTCCTCCTCTGGCTCCGATGGGTTTGGGAATTCCAAAACTTCCCCGGAAAAAGGGAAAAGTTCCCCATTCCAGAGGAAGCAGCTGCTCATCCCTCTGGGAATTCTGGAGCTCTGGGACATTCCTGAATCCAAACTTTCCCATTCCCAAATTCACCAGGGAAAGCCACGGTCCAGGAACCTTGGATCCTCCACTGAGACACAAACCAGGAATGGGAAACATTCCCAGAATTCTCCAAAACTTTGGATCCTCTGTTGGAACACAACCCTGGAATGGCACCACATTCCCAAACTTTTCCAGAACGTTGGATCCTGCCCTGGGATAGGAGCTGGGAATGTGAAACATTCCCAGAATTCTCCAAAACTTTGGATCCTCTGTTGGAACACAACCCTGGAATGGCACCACATTCCCAAACTTTTCCAGAACCTTGGATCCTCCACTGAGACACAAACCAGGAATGGGAAACATTCCCAAACTTTTCCAGAACGCTGGATCACCCACTGGAATATGAGCCAGGAATGGGAAACATTCCCAGAATTCCCCAAAACCTTGGATCCCACCCCTGGCTCTCCTCCTCCAGGCCCTGAAATTCCTCCCACCACCCAAAACTCCCGGGAAAATCCCTTTCCCATGGAATTCCACATCTCTGGGAGGAAAAGGGCGAGCTTTTCCATGGAAATGAGAATTCCCAGAATTCCCAGAATTCCCGGGAGCGGCTCCTTACCTGTGGGAGGTGAAGTTGTCGTAGGAGCCGACGGTGTAGTGCCGGAAAAGCCGCTTGGTCCGGTCCTCCCTGGTTTCTGTGGGAAAAATCCACATCCCAAATTATTCCCGGCTTTTCCCGCCTTCCCGAGGGATCCACAAACCCCGGGAATTCCATTCCAGGAGGGAATGAGGAGAATCCCTGGGGGTGAGGAATTCCTGGGAATGTCGGAGCCGTTCCTGGAAATCATCCAGGGGGAAATTCCAGCGAAATTCCTGGCTGGAATACCCAAGGAGACTCAACCCTATGGAAAAGCCAATTCCCACATTCCTGCTCTGCTTCCTTCCTTTTCCAAAGTTGGAATGGGTGGGAAGAGCTGGGAATGCTCCTGGGAATTTCTGGAGGTCACCGGATCTCTGGGAATGCTGGAATTAGGAGGAAAACTGGGAATGGGGAATTCCATTCCTGAGGGAGAAGCTCCCATGGAAAAGCTGGGAATGTTTCTGGGATCCTCCTGCTCTCCTGCAGGTCTCAGGATCTTTGGGAATGCCAGAATTAGGAGGAAAACTGGGAATTCCAATCCCATTCCTGCCCTGCTTCCGTGCTTTTCCCAACTCAGAATGGATGGGAAGAGCTGGGAATGATCCCTCTGGAGTTTTCCAGTTTTGCACCTGGATCAGGCTGGGAAAATCCTCACTGATCCCAGGGCCTCCCAACTCTGATTCCAGAGGGAAATCCCAAGGAAAAGGAAAAGCTCGGGAAGTTCCCGCTCGGCACCAGGAGACGGCAGCAGGGAGCAGCAGATCCAGGAACAATTCCCGGTGGGAATGAGGGGGGGAGAGGCTGAAAAATCGGGATCAGCGGGATTGGATGTGCCCGGGAAAAGGATTGGAGAGGCAGAAATGAGGAAAGGAAAAAGGAAAGGAAAGGAAAGGAAAGGAAAGGAAAGGAAAGGAAAGGAAAGGAAAGGAAAGGAAAGGAAAGGAAAGGAAAGGAAAGGAAAGGAAAGGAAA